CCTCTCCCCATCACCTAAGAATGGCAAGGATTAGAACTGTGATAATACTTGTCTGTCAGTAATTCAAACTTTATTTTGGGGGACTGGCTACCAGGGAAATTTGATATTTATTTGGTTTGGAAAGCTAGGAAGAGAAATAATATGAGGGAACTGTTGTAAGTTATTGAAAGGGCAATGATGTAATTAGAAGCTGGATTTAGAAAAATTAGTCTGGCTGCCATCTGCTAAGTAGATTGAATAGGACAGAGATTAGAAGGTCCTAAGTCCAGCCAAAAATCTGTAATAATTCAGCCATAAGGTAATAGGTTTCTTAATAAGAGCAGTAAGACCTATGAAGAATACAAAATAGGAAGGAGACCTCAACAGAATTAATCACTAAGCTGTTGACACACTAGATATGGGAGATGAACTGAAAGGAAATTTTGAGAATGATCCTGTGGTTTCTCATCTTGCAGTATTGGGAGTTCAGTGGTTTTGGACTTGAGGTTGTATTTGTTATGTTTCCATATCTGTAGAGCGCTCATAACATTTAAACATACTGTCATTACCAGTGGGGGCTTGTGATATTGTGATTTATAATAGTAAGTATTTTGGTCTTTGTCCCTGGTACCTGGCACAGAGTTCCCAATCCTCTGAATTTCCTAGTCATTAGGTGTGTCTTTTGTTCTAAGGTGGTGCCTCTGGGTGGGTTGCTAGCTGGGGACAGGCTATCAGAAAGATAAAGCTATGACTAGAAGCTTAGAACTTTTAGTCCTGCCACCCTTTAGGAAGGGGAAAGGGGCTGGAAATTGAGTTAATAATCAATCATACCTATGTGGTAGAGCCTCCGTAAAAATCCTGAACTATGGAGTTTGGAAGCCTCTGAGATGGCAGACACATCTATGTGTTGGGAGGGCAAGAGACGCTCCTGCACTCAGGATCCTTCCAGACCTCATCTTAGCTATCTCTTCATCTGGTTGTTCACTGCATCCTTATTTTTTTGACGGTACTGGGGCTTGAATTCAGAGCTTATCTTGAACCATTCTACCAGCCCTTTTTTGTGATGGGGCTTTTTCAAGATAGGGTCTCTCGAACTGTTTGCCTGGGCTGGCTTCTTCCTGATCCTCCTGATCTCTGCCTCCTGAGTAGTTAGGATTACAGGTGTGAGCCACCAGAACCTGGCTCATCTGAATCCTTTGTAATATTCTTTACAATGAATAAAAATAGTAAGTAAAGTGTTTCCCTCATTTCTGTGAGTCATCCTAATGAACAATCCAATTCAAAGAGGGGATTGTGAGAATCCCAATTTATAACTGATTGGTCTTAAGTACAGGTCACAGCCTGGGGCTCATGGTTGGCATCTGAAGTGGGCAGAAGTCTTGTGGAACTGAGCCCTTAACCTGTGGGATCCGATACTATCTCAAGGTAGACAGTGTCAGAATTGAAATAAATTGTAGAACACCTAGTTGGTGCCAACTGGAGATTTACTTGGTTTATATGTGGGAAAAAAATCCATAATCAAGTTATAGAGCAGTTGTATATACCTAAAAGTTCCTATATCTCTTTGTAATCACCTCTCCCATTCCTAACCAATAGCAACTACTAATTTATCTTCTATCTCTATAGTATTGTCTTTTTCAGAATGTAATACAAATGAAATCATATGGTTCATAGCTTTTCGAGTCTGGCTTCTTTCACTTATAATCCATTTGAGATATACTATTTGTGTCAGTAGTTAATCACTTTTTATTTCAGATTAGTACTCTGTGAATGTGCCACTGTTTATCATTTATCAGTTGAAGAGCATAAGCAACTATAAACATTCATGTATAGGTTTTTGTGTGAAAGGTTTTGTTTCTCTTTATAAGAATGTGTTGGGGAGTTCTGGGTTGTAGGGAGTGTGTATAGCTTTATTAGAAATGCCAAGACTCTTTTTTCCAGAATGTTCTGGTACTTTTTTTTTTTTTTCCAGTATTGGGGCTTGAACTCAGGGCCTACACCTTGAGCCACTCCACCTGCCCTTTCTTTTTTGTGAAGGGCTGCCTTGGAACCGTGATCCTCCTGACCTCTGCCTCCTGAGTAGCTAGGATTACAGGTGTGAGCCACCAGCGTGCGGCTAGCACTTTGTATTCTTGTCAGTTTCCAGTTGCTTTAGTCTCATAAACACTTTGTATTGTCAGTCATCATTGAAATCCTCTTCTTCTTCCTCTTCATTCTCTTCCTTTTCCATTTTGTATTAAATGTGGTTGTTCCTTAAGTTTTTTTTAAAAGATTCCCTGCCCCCCCCATAGAGTTTTTGTTTGTTTGTTTTTTTATGAGAAAGAGTAGCCTAGGCTGGCCTGGCCCTCATGATCTTCCTGCCTCAGCCTCCTTAGTACTGGAAAATAGGTATTTACTACCATGCCTAGCTGTCCCCCTTTTTATATTTCTCTTCTCAGTGAATGATGCCACACCAGTCTAGTGGTTTATGCTAAAAATCTAAGCACAAGCCACTCTCCAAACCCTCTTGATTTTAGCCTCTAAAATAGCTCATAAATCTGTCCACTTTTCTCCACTCTCTCTGCTACAGATACTTCAGGCTATTAACAGATATGTGGGGCAGCTTCCTTACCATACTTCCTACTCTACTGACAACCACTGGCCACTGTTCTTTCTGAAATGGCAAATCTAATTCTGTTTTTCCTCTTAAAAGCTGTGGTATCTCTGTGTGGCCCTCCAGATAATTCCAAATTCCTGACATTATATAATGTCTAAACATTACTTAAGACCTCTTATGATCAGGTTCTTTTATAACTCTGCAACCTCTCATTAATAGATATGCCAGAACTATTTTTAGTTCACTGAATATACCTTTGCATGTATAATCTTATTTTCCTGGAAAATTTCCTCAGCACTCCTGTCTAGCAAAACCTAACCATCCTCAGTAATTATCCTATTAGCTACTGAGATATCTTAATGCATTTTTGAGTTGGGGAAAGAAACATGTTTAGTTAAACTGTTGTTATTCATCTTACAATGATACTAGGATGAAGTGGTGAGACTAGGGAACTAGCTTGTTAGAGAGAATGACAATTGTTTTTTCCAGGGATTAGAGATGCAGTCAGTAGATAGGATCAGATTACTCAGTTTGTTAACACAGTAGATATTTATTAAGTACTTTGTAAGGATAATGAACTGCTATTCAGTGCTATGGAGTGCTCAGGCAGTGTTCTATAGGGAGAGCCTTCTTTGGGCTCAGAGTTAACAGTGAGAAATGGCATTGTCTAGCTGGCGGAGTGGCTCAAATGGTAAGAACGCCTTCCTAGCAAGTGTGAGTTCAAACCTAAGTACTTCAAAAACAAAGAAAGGAAGAAATAGCATTTGTCACTTGCCTGGAGCAATTTAGGTTGAAATACACTCTGATGTTCTACATGATTATTTTTTCCACTTTCTTTTCAAAAGAAACAAGGTAATTACCCTCTAGCAGTTGCTATGGCAACTGTACTATAGCCCACAAAAATTTACTTTTACTACCCCCTAGTCTATGCTTAGAAAGTTAAATCAATTATTAAATTTTTTAAATGGCACCAACATACCCTCACTGAAGAGTGAGAAGAAATAACAGGTGGTAGGAAGAAGGTAAGTACCTGGGAAGAAAAGTGGTTGTCAGTGTATGGTTAACTTAAATGGCCTGTGATTGTTTAGTAGTCCCATATGCCCAGGGTAGAAGTTTGCTCAGGTAAATGTGACCAGCTTGGTTTGGCATCTCCTGATGCTCCCAGAATTAACTTTCAAGGAAGTCACACCTTCAGAACTCTGAGAGCCTTCTGGACCAGACACTGAAGATCTTTTAATGGACCTTTGGACTATCATAGTGTAGAGGCCTGGGAGTTGTTTCCTTTCTGTTACCTATTAGGAACCTATAAGGCAAACAAAAACGTTGCAACATGACAACAAATGCTAGCTGCTGATCTGATTTCTGTGAATCACCCTGGCAGCTGTGGGAAGTAGTTTACGTGCATGTTTCAGAGACTGTTGAAGCACTTTACATGCGTTTTCTCATCCAATCCTTGCAACAATTCAGTGACACTCATTATTCTCCTTTTATAGACAAGAGAATATTTGTAATGAACTTTTCAAGATCAGATTGCTAGGAAGTGTCAGAGACAGAAGAATTAAGCTTTGACTTTAAAAAATTCATGTTCTAAATGATGAAGCTAAATTATTCCTTGTTTCCTGGAATTAACTGCCAAGTTTTAGTGATTTCTTGTCACGATTAGTTGCCTCAGATCAGTTTGGATATGGGAACAGATTTAAATGTAGCTAATATTTAATTTTTGACTTTGAAAATGGAATAGAAATGTTTTCACTTTTCTCCTATCAAAGTTTCTGTGTTTTAATGGATTTTAATGTTATAGGTGATTCAGAAAAAGTGACTATCTCTGAGGATTCAGTAGACTATTTTATTACATATTGGAAAATCAGAGGTTAAGTTTTTAAGAGATAGATAAGATATTGCCATTTTGTGGCCTTTTAGCTTTCAGTAGAGAGCAGCAAAATTGGATATCATCACTTCTAGACAGGGGACCACTCCTTTCCCTTGTGTCAGGATTCAGCTTTTGGATATTTTGTGGCAGGCTCACGTTTGATGAAGAGAGAAGGAAGTTTTTCTTAGAGGCAGGATATAGAATTTTCTCATTTTGACTAATGAAACACATGAACTCCTAAATGATGATGCTCTGAGAGAGACCTAGCCCAGAAGGAGGTTTAAACCAGTGTGGAAGAAGTTGTTTTATTGGTTTTTGTTGTTGTTGCTGTTGATTTGTTTCTTTTGTTCTCTAGTGAATAGCAAGGAACAAGAATACTTTGAGGATTAGTCTCATGTTTGATAGTTACTATTGTATAAAGTTAATGGAATAAAGTCGGGTAGGCTCAAGTAAGGTAAGGTGTATAATAATGGGTGGGTGGGGAAATGATCTTTGAATTCCTGCTAAAATGGTCTCTGTCCCTCTTCTTTTGCTGCTTCTTTGCGGTTTTCTTAGGCCACTGGACCTATTTGGGCTGGGGAGAGCAGAAGAGTAAGTAAGAATTTCAATTGCTTATAATTTTCTTGATCTTACCCTTTAATGTACTCCCTCTGAGCCATGAAGCTGGATATTCATGCATGCAATCATATGTAACTCCATTCTCTTCTCTACCACCTGAATTACCTCAGGAGAGGTAATTGTCATTACCTGTAGTAATAGCCTTTCAAGCTGATTTCTGTGTGTGTGTGTGTGTGTGTGTGTGTGTAACAGAGAGAAAGAGAGAGAGACAGAATTTCTCTCCCCTCCAAGGTTCTTCAAAGCCATTTCCTTCTTTAAGCTTTCCCTTCTCACCTTACCAGGTGTGAACTTAACATACCTTTTAATTCACATAGTTCCTGGTATATGCTATATCTATGTAGTAACTTCCTTGTATATCAATTCCATATTTTATCCATATTTTCACTCTCCTATTTGACTGACTTATATTCTGAATCTTCTATGTTTAGCTTTGTGTGTGTAGACACTCAATATTTGAGTGAGTAAATGTTCCTGCCTTTTAATTTTCTCTCTCAAATAGACTTCACCAGGGATGTTTTAACTTTTGCCATTAAACTGGCTTACAAATCCCATCATAGGCTAAGTAACTAGATTGGCACTAACTAGCTTCTCTTTCTCTACAAAGCCAAGAGTTTCCCCATCTAGCCTATATGGTGCTGTGGGGTAGATTGTAGAACCAGTAAGAGATAGTGACTGATACACTAAAACAATTCTTTTACTCAAGCCAAAGTATTATACATTTTCCTTAATTTCCCTTGTAGTTCCCAATTAGCCTTGGTTGTGCCAGGAGGTTCATTTGCTAGGGAAATTGAGGGTGGTATAGAGGAGAGAAGCTGACCTTTGCCTGTATCTTTTTTTTCCTTCTCCTTTATCTTACTTCCCTTATTTCAATTCTTTTGACCCTCCTGCTTTTCATATTGTCTCTTCTCCCAATCTCTTCTTCTCATGACCCCCTTTGTTTTTTAATGTTTTCCCTTTATTTCTTTAGTAACAGAAATGTTGTTAGCCTTTAGGGAAGGTGTGGAGTCTTCCTCCCTAACAAAATTAAAAAAAAAAGCAGAGCAATACGAGGAGTAATAGATCAGATGCAGTGATGCAGTGAGAAAGTTTAAGTAGTTTCTGGCTTTGGATCATGGACTGTTGACTTTGGCTCAACTACCCTTCCTGCCTTATAAACAGTGGAATTGTCTGTTGCTGTGGCCTCTTTGGAGATTCTTCATTCTTGGTTCTCTGGCTTGTGTGTTAAAACTTCTCTTTCCAGATTCAAGGAGACTTTTGGATTTGTCTCCTCTGTTGCCTCTGCCCCCTCATCTATATGCATTAATAGTCCAGCACTGACTTCTTCAGACTTACTCCTTCTATGGGTTCAGAAAGACTTAAGTCTGAGTGTCATATTGGTTTTGTCTCTCAATTCTTTGTTTCTAGTTTTCAGAACAGCAGTGTGTTAAGGTCTGAAACCAGTGCCTCAAATGTTTTTTTCCTTATGTATCACCCAAATACTTCGTAAGCAGAATATTTTGCATCCCTGTTGCTTGCTTTTGTGTTCAATCTTTCCTGACCATTTGAAAGTTAGCCTCTTTCTCATGCTGTTTTTCCTCCTGGAGTTTTGATCGATCGATCTCTCTCTCTCATTCTCTTTCTCTCTCTGTCAATGTTTACATGTTGCCATAACTCAACGGAAAAATCTTGTAAGATCCCCATCTCTAGCCTTACCTTGTTGCTGTAAACTCAAAGGGGAAAGCTCATAACATCATCTTACCCACTATGCCTCAGCTGTATCCACAAATGTTATTTGGAGTCCAGATAGCATTGGATGACATTGGATAATGGTCAAACTTTCTTCCTTGCTGATAAAAACCTATGTTTGTGCTCCCTGTCTGTTTAGTGGAATTATTATCTACTAGGTTGTCTAATATAGAAGCAAAGGGGTCATTTTCCTAAACACTATTTGTCCTCAAGTTTTATCAATTCTGTTTGAATTCTTATTTTTTTATTCTGTGATTATCTCCTGCCTGATTGTTTGTAAAAGTCAAATTATACGGGTTTTAGGAGGCTTCTGCTACCCACACTGCTACTCACACTGCTACCAACATTATCTTTTAAAACACTAATATGAGGAGGCCATCATCTGCTAAAAGCATCTCCCTTTTGGTATGGCAAATATTCCTCTTCCCCATTGTGAGCCAAAAAAGGAACTTGGCAAGAAGGGATATTTGGGACCTTAATCATATCATATAGGTATGGTGTCAGATATGCTTCTCTAAAAAATAGTTTACACACACTGCTAAGTTGAGCTCTCCTTCAAAGTACAATTTGATTTGTAATGATGGTCATTTTCGCTAACATCAAGAAAAACCTAGTCAATCAGGTGTTGGTCTGAAAAGCAGAAATAATTCTGTGAAATTTTAGTCACTGCTGTTAGTTAAACTTGGCTACATTGTCAGCAAGATCCCATGAGTAATGTATATGTTAATTCTTCTCTTTGCTGATGATGAGGATGGAAATTCAGAGCCCAAGGTATAGTTGCTTGACAGGAATTGTTAGAAAAACATGACATTGCAGCAAGATAGTAAAATGGCTGCTGTTCTTAGCTGCATTTAGAGTCTTTAACTTGACTTCTAAGCCCTGCCTTTACTTTCCTGATTTGTAGGACCAGTTTCTTATGTTGGACCTGCTTGGTTAGTTCAGTCCATGCATTTTAATGTCTGTGAACACCAGATCAACATTAATTAAGATTTCTTTTTTTTTTTAAGGTATGGAAAAACCTATATTTTCCCCCTCTACTCTCCCCCTTTAGTAATAGTATAGGACCTGGATCTATTTGTGATATTTAAAAGTAGATTATAATTAGGTTATGATAGCTAGAAAAGTAGAATTCCAGAGAATTTTGCATTTGGAAAATGTAACTTGGAGTCCCTTTAAGAATCAACACTAAAATGGAGCCAAACATTTTATCTCATTTGATAAAGAGAGAGACTGTGGAGAGTAATCAAGACAGTTCTTTACCTGGTTCATAATGCAGTTCATCCTGCTCTTGTCCTTAAGCTCCAACTTGTGGTTACCTAAGTTATAAGCAAAAAAAGTTCTGAAAAACTAAATAAAGCTGGGATTCTTGGATTCCCTGTGCTTATTCCACAGCCTTTGAAGACCCTGATAGTGCTGTCGATGACCGAGACAGTGACTATCGCAGTGAGACCAGCAATAGCATCCCACCTCCTTACCATACAACTTCCCAGCCCAACGCTTCTATGGACCAGTTCCCTGTGCCGGTACGATTGCCACAGCAGCTGCTGCTTCAGGGCAGTTCTCGAGACTCATGCAATGACTCTATGCAGAGTTATGACCTCGATTATCCAGAGCGGCGGGCCCTCAGGTGTGTATGGGGAACAAAGTGCTTTCTCTTCCTTGTATCCAATTCTGATGATGTAACTGACAAGTATTTTGATGCTTTTACCTCAGGTGGTAGTAGAAGTATAGCAGTATGATGGGCTAAGCTATAGTCATTTTGTGTATATTCTCAGTCTGTTTTGTACACATTTATATATTTCCATTAGGAGTAATTCTTTTTATGATCAGAATAGTGACTTTCAATTAGTGAGGACATTCACACCTGGGGTGGATGATGGAAAAAAAACCCTGATCCCCACCACCCTGCATCTGACTCAGACACTTTTCACCAAGATTAAAACAAAAATCACATATATTAAATGTTTGGATAGCCCTTTCTATTTAAATATATCCCTGGAAACTTCATAAGAAAACCAATGTGATCTCATCACAGCCGATTTTGTACTTTTGCTGGAACCTCATTTTATTAATTTCTTAAATATGTAAAAATATTTATATGGTTAAATCATTTTCAACTATAATATAGTATACAGTCAAGAATCTCTTAGCCATGACTACCATCTTTCTTCACCTCCCATTGCTGTTTCTTATGCATCCTTCTCTGGACTATCATATTTGTGAATATAAATGAAAATACATACATTTGTGCTCCTCCCATTCTCCAATGTTTTAAAAAAGTATTTCAAGCTTAAAGAAAACTTGGAGAAATAATAAATGAGTACCAATATTATTCCTAGATTTATCAATATTGTAAACATTTTGCCACATTTACTTTATCTCATACTTTCCATATATTTTCACCTACACATACTACTTTTTTCTGAACATTTTGGCACATTGCAGATATCATGTTACTTTACCAGAAAGTCCTTTAGCATGTAACTGCTAAGAAAAAAAGGACTTTCTCTTACATAACCTTAATGCTATAATAATACTCAAGACATTTAATGATACAATGATATTATTTAATATGCATGTCACTTAATTTCTCCAGTTGTCCCAATAATGTTCTGTATACATATTTTTTTTTTCCTTTTTGATCCAGGATCCACTGAAGAATCATAAAGCATTATATTTGACTTTCCTGTTTTCTTAGTCTCCTTTAATCTGGTAAAATTTCCTTCCTTTTTTTTTTCCCTCCTGATCGTTTAAGACCCATTTTTTGAGTAGTCTAGACCAGGTGTTTTGAGAATATCTTTTATTTTACTTTTATCTAATTGTTTCTTCATATTTAGAATCAGGTTAAAGATTTTTGGCAGAAACACCATAGAGTGATATTTCCTTCAGAATATATTCAGGAAGCACATACTTTGTCCTTCTATCAGTGATGTTTAGTTTAATCTCTTGGCTAAGCAATCTGGTATATATTGTATTGCTCAAAGATAAAGGTACTTTTTATTATTTGTAATTAATTAATAATATCTGGGATGTTAAATAAGATTAGATTAATAGCTTGTTTCCCTAACAACCTTTGTCCCAGTGATTTTTAGCATCAGTTGACCCATTGCTTAAGTCAGTTATTTTATTGGTCGGAGATTAGCTTTTTAAAAACCATTCCAGTCTAGCTTATATTTTTAATTTCTAAAATTCACCAGCCCACAGGATAATCTTACATTTTTTTTGCCCATCAAACTACTATATTTACGAATTTTTGTCTTTAGCCTCAAAAGGCCATCTACCTGCTAGACATCATGTCCTAGTTTACTATCATCATTGAAAATATTTTCCTTAAAATTTTCTCATGTATCAGCCATACCATAGAGTTCTCACTCTTCATATTCTGATTCTGAAAAGAATAATATTAAGAACCTTACTTGTGTAATCCCAGCACTCAGAAGGTGGAGGCCAGAGGATCGTGAGTTCAAGGCATCCTGAGCTACATAGCAAGACCTTGTCTGTTAAAAAAACAAGCTTTGGGGATGTAGCTCAGTGGTAGAACACTTGTCTAACATGTGCAAGGCACTGGTTTCAATCCCCAGTAGTACAAAAACATAACAAAACAACTGTTATTAAAACAGGTGCCTTCTCCTTAATGGTTTATTAATTGAATGCCTTTTTTTTAATTTAAAAAAATAAGGGATTTCCATACATTGCCCTGGCTGGCCTGGAACTGTTAGGTTCAAATGATCCTCCTACCTCAACCTCCAGATTAGCTGTGACTGTAGACGTGCACACCACAGTGCCTAGCTGAATACTTACATGTTTTATTCATTTGTTTTTAGCTTATAATACCATACTTTAACAAGAAATCATAATATCAAAAAGTTTTTTCTTTTGATCTTCTTTCCCTTCTATGTTTGCAAGCCTTAGATGTGCAGGGCAGCAATAATAATATCACATCAACCTAAATAACTTTTCCATTTAGACAAGCTATAATTTGCCTTATTACCCTATTGTTTTGTTTATTTCCTGGGTTTCTACTATAATACATAACACTTATCAGTGATATATTTTAAGTTGCAAACTTTTTTCCTACAAAATTAATTGTTCTTATATAAATTAAACTTATAATGGTATATAGAATTAGGTATAAGTAAATATTTTATCATTTCCAGCAGAGGAAAAATTGGAAGGATTTTAAGTGGTCTTTCATTGTAGATGTTTTAAACATCTATAATGGTTAAGATGATTTCTGCTTTAAAAAGTTTTGAATCAATTATACCACTAGCATTGATTATAAATGTAAACATAGAGTTTACAGAAATAGCCTAAGTCCTTAAAGTTACATAGTTTTTTAGGAAGAAAGTTTCAAATCCTGAGGGAACAGATTGTTTCCCAGGAAATACAAAAGTATAAAAATAAAGTTTACATTCACTATAGCCATGTCTGTCTATCTGTTGATAAACAGATAAATAAGGATACTTTTTATAAAGATTCCTTACAACTTAGAGTTTACATTTAAGTTTTTGGAAAATTGTTAAGTTTGATTTCCTCATTCATCCAAATGAGCTGTTACTTAATGAATCCAGAATAACAGAATTTTTTCTAAACATAATTTGGGTTTGACAACAGAGTTGGACTGTCTTAGATATTATTTAGACAAAGTGTTTCCAGTGTTAAGAGGAGCTAAGAGAATATCAGTCTCACCTTTGAAAATTTTTAGTGGTTAAGTAACAACTTTGATCTTATTTCTATTTCCTACATAGATTTGGATGTTAGATTTATCAAAGAACTGTTAAAGTCCTATTCTGTTGTCCTTCTTTATGTAGAAATACAGGAAATAAGCAGTCTCTAACCTAAATGAAAGAAAGACCAGATATCTTCTGTATTGAATGATTTAAATTAGGCATGTAGCTTCTGCTGTAATCAGCACAGGGAAAGATCTTCAAAGTGTATAGCCTTTGGATTTCACAAACAATAAATTATAATGCTTTAAACAATTTGCTGGTTTGGGTAGTATAACAGGGTTATTCTTATAGTTAAAAGTTATTTTTGGAATGCATATTTTTTTTCTTTTTAAAAGAAATATGTTTGAATATATTCTTGTATATATTGCCTCAAATATAACTTTCAGCAAGTTAAAAGCTTGGCTTCTTTTTAGACTTAAATATGTCAGCAAATTTAGGTTTCTTAAAATCTCTTAATATATTTTCATGGTGTACTTAACAGTTCTAAACTTTGGCATTGTACATACATTCTAGATACTGATAAAGCATGCTTAATTTTTTGTTTCTTAGAAAATAAAAGAAACCTAAAAAGTTAGCAATGATAAATGGTAGCTAGTGAAAAATTTAAAAATTGTCATTAAAGATATTCTTTTTTGATGTGGAAAAAACTTATTTTACTGCATTGATATAATATTGTTTAAGAATGCAGATTTTTTTTCACAGTTTTTAGTCTGAATGCTTCTTAAAATCAAACTGGAAATTTTACTATTCTAATTTTGTCGATTAGATGGTTAATCTTATTACTTGTTTCTTCCTTTTCCCTGTCTCTCCTTCTTTGCCTTACTCTTCTACCATTTTAACCTCTTACCTCAGACAAGGCTCACAGGCTAAAAATGACAAAATTAGGATTATTTCAGCTTTTTCTGATGATGACTATGAAGAGCAAGACAATATTTATAAGGAGATAGAAGGGAAACTATCACAAGACTTTCTAGAAAATAGTAACATAAAGTTGAAAGAAGCAGAGGAAAAAGAAATTAGGACACTTTTAAAAACTGATGAATATTACAGCCAACAAAAACGAACAGCATACAATTGGAAAAAAATACAATCTCAGACCCAACAGACAGAATTCTGTAGTGCCCTTAATTTTGACCATAAGTTTGAAACATCTTCATTCTCCAGCTATCCTCAGAAATACAATACAATAGATAGGAGAAGAAAAAAGAAGCCCTTAAATAGTCATCTTGAAAATAGTGAAAGACAGCAATATAACACTAAGCCTAACTTAAACTGTGCATTTCCTGATACTAAAAATTATGACCCTTACCACTTTGAAGAGAAGAAAAAAAGTTACCCAGTTTTGCACCCCTACAAAGAGGGATTTGTGATTAAGAGTGGCACCTGCACCATTAAGTTGGAAAGTGGTAATTATGTTCTGCCCTGTTTGAGGAACTGTGAAAAGTCACCTGACTCAAACCAGCCTGTCACTAATTTTACTCCATTAGATATTCTTGAAGATTCTACTAGCAGTACTTCTGAAGAATTCCTGAGTTCCCCCATTTCTGATGAGCAGGCAAGTTTACTGTCACCAACATGGGACCCATCCAATGTCCATCATATGGGAGACTTTAATGAAGAATGTTATGTGAAAAATCCAACATTGCCATTACACAGGATGAATTGTGATGCAAACAAGGTTGGAGGTCTGTCCAGGTACTCCATTGGAGAGATGACCCCTTCCTCTATTGAGTCCAAAGAGGACTATGTTGATACGATGGATAAGCTTCAGTGTTTGGTAGAAACAGTGTCAGAATATTTAGCAGAGAAAGAAGAAGAGATTAATAGATTTGGTTCCTTTCCCCAAACTAAAAAAGCACATATACAAAATAGTACTACTGATAATGTAGAACAAAAA